AAGGCCTTGATCAGGCATTGCCGTCCATCGCTCCTTCATGTTTATATCTAAACTAATAGGAATTGCTAGATAGCTAATTTCGGCCGACTATCGCAAATTTTAAACCTACATATCTTATAAAACCCAGGTTGTGTGTGTGTGTATGTGTGTGTACGTTTATATATTGGATCGGATTTCCTACATTTTTCAACCGATTTCAACAAAACTTCACAGGACTACGTAAAATTACTTTGTGGTGATTCAGACACTGCCAAAATTTGGAAAAACACAATTGTTTTTGCACAAAATCAATTTGAAAACACGATAAAACACGATTCTGTCACCAGAATGAAAGGGGGACAACTCATCTTGAGTTATACTTATTATAAAACCCAGGTTGTTTGTGTGTGTGTCTGTTCGTTTATATATAGGATCGGATTTCCTACATTTTTCAACCGATTTCAACAAAACTTCACTTTTTTTTTGGTAGGTGTTTTTATTGTCTTGCACACTTTTTTTCTTTATTTTTTACATTCAGAATGCTTTAAAAAATTCCATTTAAAAGACAATTGTTTATAATAAAATTCTATTCATCAATCGGTAGACTCATAACGATTGAAAACAATGTTTTTGTTTGGGTTTGACCAATTCGTAAAAAAAACAAAAAAACTAATTAAGACATGCGTGTCCGTCAACCTTAAACGATAATCTTTGTCAATTTTATTCTTCAGTCTTTATGATGGTCGATACTTGATCTATCTCTTTCTGTTACATCCCCGGGCAACGCCGGGCTCTACTGCTAGTGACATATAAGACGCAGGGGAATTAAAAAATATATATTTTTAGTGAAAAAAAAGTGCGCCTTATATGCCGTGAAATACGATATTTTACATATTTATAAGTCTACCATTCGTTTTTATTTGAATACTGCTGCTACATCTGGTCTTGTGCGCCTATATTTGGAGATTATTAATAAAATCCAAAGAAGAATCATATAAGTTCTGCCATGTCATCTCGGCTTCAGTCACTTTCCCACTGCTGTAACGTGATTTACTGGAGCCATTTCTACAAATATTTTTGGTAAGTTTTTTTTTCTGATGGATTTTCCTCTAAGGTACTGAGATATTGTAAATTTAAGCATAGTACTCGATTGGCGGCTAGGTCTCACATTTATATTCTTTTGTATTTCGTAAAATTTATATTTTACTTTTTTGTTCATTCAGTCATTCATTTATTTATTTAATTTAATTTTTTTATTGCATTCTTTGGCTCAAAAATTATTTCGGAGAATTTTCCATTCTGTTTACTTATTTTTTTCTTTTTTGCTTCATTGACTCATTCGTTCTTTCATTCACAATTCTTTTAGTCTTTAATTTATCTGGACACCTCATCGCCTTACACCAGCACCCGCCTTATCTATTTTCTGTTGACTCAGTCTCGCCTTACACCATCCCCAGATTTCTTCGACAGATTCTATTATTATTACTATTATTAGACTCACATCCTTTTGCAGTTGAAATGGCTAGATATAACCGCAAGTTCTATGTTAAGATGATCTTCTCTCGCACTTCTCGCTTGTGGAATTGTCTGTGTTCAAAAGCGCCTAAATGATCCCTTCATCACAAACGAAAGATCGTACTTGTTATTCTGTTGGTATCTCTATGAAAGACATACTAACAGATCAAATTCTTTAGTTCAAACGTCTCAGACATTTGCAGCTAAGACCAATCATTCCATGAACCTAGTGAGGAATATCGTACCTTCATATTCAATCAATAAGAAGGAAGTTCTTCAGAAAAAGAATAATTCTTCACTGATCTCAACAATCTTAACCTCTTCGAGTCAAAGATCTACACTTCTTACGTATTCCTCTTACGTTCATACAACAACCACATTCAGACTCCCGAGGGAGTGCTTCCCTGATCGCAAGTCTAGAGTCAACCGTTATTTATCCTTCATATCATCATAATATACATTTCTTACCTCTTTTCGTTACGTACATACAGACTCCTGAGAGTGCTTTCATGATCGCTACAATCTTAGCTCAAGTCTAGGGTCAACTGTTATCTCTCCTAAATATCCTCACAATATCACTTCTTACCTCAACCTCTTACGTTCATACAACAAGCACATTCAGACTCCCCAGAGAGTGCTTCCCTGATCGGGACAATCTTAAACACTTCGAGTCTAGGATTTACACTTCTTTCACTTCTATCCTACATATCTTCATATCACTTCTTACCTTAAACTCTTACGTTCATGCAACAACCTCATACAGACTCCCGAGGGAGTGCTTCCCTGATCTCTACAATCTTAAACTCTTCAAGTCAAGGTTCAACCGTTATCTATATTTCATATCATCCTTATATACTTTTTAACTCCTCTTCTTACGTTCATACAACAACCACATCCAGACTCCCAAGGGTGTGCTTCCCTGATCACTACAATCTTGCCCTCTTCAAGTCTAGGGTCAGCTGTTATCTATCCTACATATCCTCATATCACTTCTTACCTCAACTTCTCACGTTCATGCAACGAACTCATACAGGCTCCCGAGGGAGTGCTTCCCTGATTACTACAATCTTAGCCACTTCAAGTCAACCGTTATCTAACGTACATATCCTCATGTCACTTCTTACCTCCTCCTGTTACGTTCATACAAGAACCACATTCAGACTCCCGAGGGAGTGCTTCCTGATCGCTACAATCTTAACTTATTCAAGTCTAGTGTCAACTGTAATCTATCCTCCATATACTAATAATATACACTTCTTAGCTCCTCTCGTTATGTTCATACAGCAACCTCATTCCGACTCCCGAGGGAGTGCTTCCGTGATCGCTACAATCTTAGCATCTTCAAGTCTAGGGTCGACTCTTAACTATCCTGCACATACTCATAATGTCACTTTTTACCTCCCCCTCTTACCTTCATGCAAGAACAACATTCAGACTCCCGAGTGAGTTCTTCCCTGATCGCGACAATCTTAGTATCTTTAAATCTAGGGTCAACTTTTATATATACTACATATCCTTATAATATCTTACCTCAATCTTTGACGTTAATGCAACAACCTCATACAGGCTCCCGAGGGAGTGCTTCACTGATCGCTACAATCTTAACCTCTTCAAGTCTAGGGTCAAACGTTATCTATACTACATATCCTCATACGACTATACAACTACCTCATTGAGACTCCCGCGATAATGCTTCCCCGATCGCAACAAACTTAATCAGCTTCAAGTCAAGGGTAAACCGTTATCTATCCCATATATCCTCATAATATACACTTCTTACATTCTCGTCTTACGTTCATACAACATCCTCTTTCAGACTCCCGAGGGAGTGTTTCCATCATCGCTTCAATGTTAACCTCTTCAAGTCTAGGTCAATCGTTACGTCTCTTACATATCCTGATAGATTGCACTTATTACCTCCCCCATTAAAACTCTACTTTGAGTGGCTCTAGAGGATTGTACTGAGTGAACGATAAACAATAATGCAAATAAATAAATAAATAAATAAAGTGAATTTGTTTATTTATTAAATCAATGTCGAATCAGTTCGCCGGCAGCCATTTACTGCGGCACAGTCTTTTTGAAGGAGGTTTGGTTCGTTCATCGGTAATAGCAACTCTGCCATTTCCTGGCTGCAATTCCATCACCAACTGCAGGAGACATGGACACAGCGTCCGAAATGCAAATCTTGCCAGGTTTGTTAGGCAGAAGGGGGGGGGGTAGAACACAATATCCTCTGGATACGGAATATTAAACAGGGAATTCTTTTACGGGATGAAATAAGGATCAGCAAAAGAAAATAAAAAGACGAAAGAAAGAAAGAAAGAAAGAAAGAAAGAAAGAAAGAAAGAAAGAAAGAAAGAATGTTTAGAGAAACAAGAAGAAAGAGAAAAAGAAAGATTGGATAAAAAAAAAAAACGAAAGAAAGAAAGAAAGAAAGAGAGAAAGAAAGAAAGATAGTTTAGAGTATCAAAAAGAAAGAAGGAAAGAACGAAAAATTGGATTAAGAAAAAGAAAGAAAGAAAGAAGAATGAGCAAAATAAATTTTAAAAAAATGAAAGAAAGAAAGAACAAGACAAAAAAACGAAGGAAAGAAAGTTTAAAGTAACAAAAAGAAAGATAAAGGAAAGAAAAAAGAAAGTGAGAAAGAAAGAAAAAAAGAAAGAAAGAAAGATTGGATTAACAAAAAGAAAGAAAGAAAGAACGAAAGAAAGAAGGAATGGATTAACAAAAAGAAAGAAAGAAAGATTGGATTAACAAAAAGAAAGAAAGAAACGAAGGTTGGATTAACAAAAAGTAAGAAAGAAAGAAAGAAAGAAAGAAAGAAAGAAAGAAAGAAAGAAAGAATGGATTAACAAAAAGAAGGAAAGAAGGATTGGATTAACAAAAAGAAAGAAAGAAGGATTGGATTCACAAAAAGAAAGAAAGAAAGAAAGAAGAAAAGAAAGAAAGAAAAAATCGATTAACAATAAAAAAGAAAGATGGGTTTAACAAAAAGAAAGAAAGAAAGATTGGATTAACAAAAAGAAAGAAAGAAAGAATGGATTAACAAAAAGAAAGAAAGAAAGAATGGATTAACAAAAAGAAAGAAAGAAAGATTGGACTAACAAAAAGAAAGAAAGAAAGAAAGAAAGAAAGAAAGAAAGAATGGATTAACAAAAAGAAAGAAAGAAAGAATGGATTAACAAAAAGAAAGAAAGAAAGATTGGATTAACAAAAAGAAAGAAAGAAAGAATGGATTAACAAAAAGAAAGAAAGAAAGATTGGACTAACAAAAACAAAGAAAGAAAAAGAAAGAAAAGAAAGAAAGAAAGAATGGATTAACAAAAACGAAAGAAAGAAAGATTGGATTAACAAAAGAAAGAAAAGAAAAGAATGGATTAAAAAAAAGAAACAAAAGAAAGAATGGATTAACAAAAACAAAGAAAGAAAGAAAGATTGGATTAACAAAAAGAAAGAAAGAAAGAATGGATTAACAAAAAGAAAGAAAGAAAGATTGGACTAACAAAAAGAAAGAAAGAAAGAAAGAAAGAAAGAAAGAAAGAAAGAAAGAAAGAAAGAAAGAATGGATTAACAAAAAGAAGGAAAGAAAGATTGGACTAACAGAAAGAAAGAAAGAAAGAAAGAAAGAAAGAAAGAAAGAAAGAAAGAAAGAAAGAAAGAAAGAAGCAAGGAAGGAAGGCCTGGGATATGTTAGAAGAAAGAAAGAAGGATTGGATTAACAAAAAGAAAGAAATAAAGAAGAAAAGAAAGAAAGAAAAAATCGATTAACAATAAAAAAGAAAGATGGGATTAACAAAAAGAAAGAAAGAAAGATTGGATTAACAAAAAAAAGAAAGAAAGAAAATTAAAAATGGAAAAAAAAAAGAAAGAAATTAAAGAATGGATTAAAAAAAAAGAAAGAAAAAAAGAAAGAAACTAACAAAAAAAAGAAAGAAAAAAAAGAAAGAAAGAAAGAAAGAAAGAATGGATTAACAAAAAAGAAAAAAGAAAGATTGGATTAACAAAAAAAGAAAAAAAAGAAAGAATGGATTAACAAAAGAAAGAAAGAAAAGAATGGATTAGAAAAAACAATAAAAAAGAAAGAAAGATTGGATTATAAAAAAAAAAGAAAGAAAGAAATGGATTAACAAAAGAAAAGAAAGAAAGATTGGACTAACAAAAGAAAAGAAAGAAAAAAAAAGAAAAAAGAAAGAAAAAAAGAAAGAAATGGATTATTAAAAAAGAAAGGAAAGAAAGATTGTTAACAGAAAGAAGAAAAGAAGAAAGAAAGAAAAGAAAAAAGAAAGAAAGAAAGAAAGAAAAAAGAAAGAAAGAAGAAAGGAAGGAAGGCCTGATTTTTATAAGAAGAAAAGAAAAGAAGGATTGGATTAACAAAAAAAAAAGAAATAAAGAAGAAAAAAAAGAAAGAAAAAAATCGATTAACAATAAAAAAAAGAAAGATGGGATTAACAAAAAGAAAAAAAAGAAAGAAGATAATTAACAAAAGAAAGAAAGAAAGAATGGATTAACAAAAAAGAAAGAAAGAAAGAATGGATTAACAAAAAAGAAAAGAAAAAAAAAAAATGGATTAAAAAAAATTTTAAAAGAAAAGATTGGACTAGAAAAAAGAAAAAAAGAAAAAAAGCAAGGAAGGAAGGCCTGGGGATATTTTAAAAGAAGAAAGAAAGAAAAAAAAAAAAGAAAGAAAAAGCAAGGAAGGATGGCCTGGGATAAAATTAAAGAAAGAAAGAAAAAAAGAAAGAAAAAAAAAGAAAAAAAGAATGGATTACAAAACAAAGAAGAAAAAAAAAAAAAAATGCATGAGCAAAAAAGAAAAACGAGAATTAAAACAAAAGAAGGAAAATTTATTTAAGAATAAAAAAAGAAAGAAAGAATAACTGAGAAAAAAGAAAATAAAATTTGAAAAAAAAAAACTAAAAAAAAGAAAAAATAGAATGAATGAAAAGAAAGAAAAAAAGAAAAAAAAGAAAAAAAAAAAGTTACGATTGAAGAAAAAAAAAAAAAAAAAGAAAGAAAAATGTCAATTAAAAAAAAAAGAGAAAGAAAAAAAAAAGAAAAAAGGAATCAAAAGAGTTGAAAAAAAAGAACAACAAAAAAATAAGTAAAGTTCTAGGAATTTGAAAGAAAAAAAAAAAAAATGATAGAATGAACGGAAGAAAGAAAGAAAGAAAAAAAAAGAAAAAGAAAGAAAAAAAAAAGAATATCTGAATGAAAAGATGAAAGAAAGAATATACGAAAGAAAAACAAGAAAACAGAAATAAATCGGAACGAACGAACGAACGACACGAAGGGAGAAAGGAATTATAAAAGGAAAAAAGAAAAAGAAAGAAAAAAATGAAATGAAAAAAAAAGAGAGAAATAAGAAAAAAAACTATTAAAAAAAAAAAAGGAAGAAAAAAGACGATAAGAAAAAAAAAATAAACAATCTAGAAAGAACTAAGGAAAAAAAAAAAAAAAAAAAAAAAAAAAAATAAACGACAGATAGAAACTAAAAAAAGAAAGAAAAAAAAAGAAAAAAAAAAAAGAAAGAGACAGAAAAAGAAAAAAAAGAAAGAAAGAATGAATGATTCTTAAATTTATATTAAAAAACGAATTTCCTTAAATAAAATAGAATGATATTGTTTGAATTTTGAAACGTGAAAATATTCAACAATTTTTCGTTAATTTTTGAATATTTTGAATTATTAGAAAATTTTATTATGTTGTTTCTGAAAAAACAAATGACCGTTTTATTGCTGATGAATTGAAATATGACACAATCACACAAAACAATAAACACACACATACAAACACACACAAACACACAACAGATAAAATTAAGAAAACAAATAATAATGCGTGTAAATATCCAAAGATCATTAAAAGCAAACATCTACACAAAAACAAAACACACACAAACAACACTTTTTTTAAAAACTTCAAAATATAGCGAACAAAAATAAACAGACACTCAAAAAACACACAAATACACACACAGAGAGACAAAATCAAAAAACACAAACAGGCAAATAGAAACAAAATATATTTCATGAAATATGAACACGCACATGCAAAATAGAATTAACAAAAAAAATTCTTAAAAAATTTTCAAAATAAAATTCCGATAATAAAATAAAATTTATTTGGGAAAAATATGTTGTTTTTTAGTTTGTTTTTTTTTTAAAGATTTTCATATATATATATATATATATATATATATATAATAATATATAAATAAAAAATAATTTTTCGAGATATCCAAATCAATGAAAAATTTCGAAGGATCCCATTTCATTTTTTTTTTCAAATTGTTGTAAAGAATGTTTAATCATAAATGATCAAGAAGTAAATTTCTATCTAAATTTTAAGTTTTTTATTGAAATAAAAATCCGATATATAATATATTTGAAGATTTCGAAATTAAAATTCCGAATGGTACTTTTTTTTATTTTAAAAAATTAATTATAATCAAAGCTATTTCTGTATAAAGCACTGTTTTTAAAAAAAAAAAAATACTAAAAATTTTAGCATATCATTAATCTAACTTGAAATTTTTAATTGATTCAGAACCACAAAAACAAATTATCACACCAACACACATAAATTTACACAATTACTATATATATATATATATATATATATATATATATAGATAGTTTGTTTAAACATACAAGTAAGCATATTTCATTTTGTTAATTTGTTTAAAGTTCTTTTGAATTTATAACAAAACGAAAGAAAAATAAACTACATTACACAAAAAAAAAATTTTTAACATAAACCCAAATTTTTAATTCATTAAAGTTTGTCTGACGAATTTTAAAAAAAAAAAAAAAGGGTCAAAAAAAAATATATGACATCTATCCAACCAAATTTTTATATATATATATTTTATATATATATATATATATATTTTTTTCAACTCAACAAATTTTCTATTTTGAAAAATTTGAAAAAATAACAACTTATTTTCTTATCTATAAATGAGAAAAATTTTAGAAAAGAAAAACAAACAAAAAAATAAACATGAAAAAAATGATGCTTTCTGATCCTGTAAAACAACCGAATAAATGCAATAAATTCGAGCGATAGGCGAATTTATTTTTTTCATTCTGTTTTGTTCTGGTGAAAATTCTTTTGCAGAATAAAAAAAAATGGCGGAATGTTAATTTATTTAAGATTTACTATCTGACTTTTAGTTTTATATTTTCAAAAAAATTCCAAAATAAAAGACATTTTCATTCTTTTTCAATATTCATCAGAATTAATGCCAGGAGAAAATGCGGGTTGATATTGAAAATTAGAATTTCCAAACAGAATCTTTGATTAAAAAAAAATAAAATCTAAAAAAAATATAAACAGTTTTACATTAAAATTACATCCCAGGAATGGAGAAAAATAAAGATATAAGCAAAACCTAGAAGGACGATGATTCAAAAACATTCATTAAAACATGCCTGCTAAAAATAAAATTATTTTAATATATTTATTGTTTATACATTAATTTTTTAAATTTTATATATTTATAAATGCTCTTTCTGTTGATAATAAAAATATTAACAACATTTAGCAGCTGTATTTTGTACAAAATATTTTTTTTATATATTCAATTTTAAAAAAAAATATTTTGCCAATATAAATTCTGAGGATGTAAAATTTAGAAAACCATTTTTTGATATATAATCTTGATCATTTAAAAAGGAAGAAAAAAATACCATTATCAAAAATATAAGATTGTTTATAAAATTCCATATTTAAAGAAAAATTATCAAAACAAACACCCACAGTAACATCAAAGCTCAGAGGTGAATAACATTTAATCTCGTGTTTCAATATGCAATAATAAATATATAATCATATAACGCGTGATTTTTTATATTGTGAAAAAAAAAAATTTTGAAATTATAAAAATATTTTATTACAAATCTTTTGTATCATAGAGGTCCTTTTTTTTTTTTTGATAGATTCAATTCAGGACATGGATTAATATTTTCCTCAAATCTTTTTATCCCAAAAATGTCATTGTTCCTGAAATGGAAAATTTAAACGTGGATCTCTAGACAATGGAAAAATAAAAACGCCATTTATATAAATATAAATATCATGAATTATAAGAAATTGTTAAAATTACTTTTTGATTATCAATAAGTTAACCCGGACGTTAAATAGATATAAAAAAAAATGTTCATCTTTTTAAAAGTTGATTACTTTTCTTAGTAAATCTACGCAGTCGATTATTTTTTAATAAAGTTCAATAAAAAATTTTTTTTAAACATTTAAAATTTTGTTAATGTTGTATTCAAACTGCGTTCGATATTTAAATTTATAATTTTCATTTGTTTGATTAAAACTAATTGTCCTATATTTCTGAGATGAGGTATTATGTACATTATTTACATTATTCGGACTATTGTCCTCATCTTTGTCGCCATGCACTGGACAACGTTTCGGCCGTTGTACGCTCCGGCCTTCTTCAGGTGGTTGGAATGTCGAACTGAACCCTTTATTTCGCTCACTGGGGTAGACTGTTCTAGTTCCACGTGCCATGTTTGATGGATGTCAGTTATCAGTTATCTCCTGCTAATTTTCCCTCTGAAAGTTCTCCACTGCCTTAACCGGGTATTGAACTCACACCTTTGGGTCCTGTCACTGGATCTAACCAACGCCTTTATCCACTGTGCCATGTGTCCTTGAGGACATCTGGGTATGAATTTCTGGGTATTATAAACCTAATGGTTTCAACATTTTTTACCAGTGCTCATATTGCAATTTTTGCTGTTATCATTGCATGTTTTTTTACCAGAGTTCATATTGCAATTTTTTGTTATTATTGCTTTTCTCTGGCACTCCTTATTACTGGTTTCCCATATTGTATTAATTTCTATGCTTGGTCGGCTCAGGAGATTTTTGTGGCCTAGCATATGTGCTGATTCCTTAAGTTTACGAATTTTCCAATGGTGTTCTTTGTCTATGATCTCAACATGATCCCACAGAGGGCGGTGATCTCCCTTTTCTCTCCATATGTGGTCAGCCACGCCTGATTTTTTCTACTTCCCCTCGTGTTACAGCTTTCTGGTGTTCTTGAAGCCTTACCTTGAGGGGGCGGCCTGTCTCTCCTTTATATTCCTTTCCGCAGCTGCACGGGATAGCGTACACACAGTCTTTAGTCATGTTCTCCTCTATGGGGGTCTTACTCGGGAGAGATATCTGCGAAGTGTCGTCAAGCTTTTGAAGGTTGTCCTGATGTTATATGGACCGCAGATCCTTTGTATTTTCTCTGATAACCCCTTCACATAAGGCAGGCAGACTGTTTTTCTGTGTTGTTGTTGTCCTCCTCCTCCTCTTGTACCCGCCTATCCCAGTTTTTTGGGGGCTGCTGCTATGTACCCAGGGTAATTGTTACGTTGTAGGGTACTACTTATACTGACCAATTCCTTATCTAACGTCTCTGGGTCGCCACTTATGACTTTTGCTCGGTGTTGTAAGCAACGGACGATCCCTTTCTTTACGCCTTATGGATTATTATTTTACATTGAAGTCTTTCTGTTATTACTTGTATTATGTACATGGAATGGATTACAAAAGTATCGTTAGTAACGCTATACTCGTTGCTTAAACGCGTACAGCCGTAAACAACCGAACGAGAAACAGCTAAACATCTTATAAACGTATTGTTTGTTGAAGGGTATTATTAACTTTATGGATGCATATAATTTTTTCTTGTTCATGAATAATGAAAGATACTGTAGCATAGGAAGACATAGAAAAGAAAAATGATTAACAAAAAGAAAAGAAAAATATTTACTGTATATAGTTTGTGTAACACGTGACCCCCGAATTCTCATTTATAAAAAGATTTTATCATGTATCTCGTGTATAATGCAAGTTCTTTTTTGGAGAGACCCAATTACAATAGACTAACCTCTTTTCCTCTATCTCTTTATACCATCTTCTAGTTAAATAAGTTCAAAAAGTTAAAGAGAAGGTTAAAAGTATCGTTAATAACGCTATATTCGTTGCGTAAACGCGTACGGCTATAAACAACCGAACGAGAATTAAATAATCTTCTTATAAACGTATTGATTGTTGAAGAGCATTATTAACTTTATAGTTGCATATAACTTTTTTTCTGTGTGAATAATGAAAGATGCTGTAACAGAGGAAAACATAGAAAAGAAAAATGATTAACAAAGAGAAAACAAAAATATTTAACCTATATACTCATGTGACCCCCAGATTTTCACTTATAAAAATAAAATAATGTCGTTTTTTTGACGTTCAACTTCAAAAGATCATAAATCCTTTCATAATAAACTTTATTAATCGAAATAAGAACCATTAGAATCGACACATTTTTGCCAACGAGAAACAAGTTTATTTATCCCATTAGCATAGAAATCCGGAGTTCTGGAAGCGATGAAGTCATTGAAGGCCGATTCGGCATCATCATCTCGGCTTTTGATTTTTCGCGCAGGAAGTTGTCGAGATGCTTGAAAAAGTGATAATCGGTGGGCGAGAGGTCCGGTGAATATGGCGGATGAGGCAGAGTCTCGTAGCCCAATTCGTTCAGCTTCTGCAGGGTCAGTTGAGCAACATGCGGGCGAGCGTTGTCATGGAGGAGAATTGGTCCCTTCATATTGACCAATCTCAGGCACATACGTTGGAGCTTCTGGTGCATTTCGTCAATTTGTCGGCAGTACTTCTCCGCCGTAATCGTTTCGCCCGGATTCAAGAAGCTGTGATGGATGAGACCGGCCGCAGACCACCAAACAGTCACCATAACCTTTTTTTGGTGCAATTTCGGCTTCGGGAAGTGTTGTGGAGCTTCTCCGGCATCCAACCACTGTGCCGAACGTCGCCGGTTGTCGTAGAGGATCCACTTCTCATCACACGTCACAATCCGCTCGAGAAATGGGTCGTTTTTGTTGCGCAGAAGGAGCGTAGAAGACACCTCAAAACGACGATTTTTTTTTGATTATCGTTCAATTCATGCGGCACCCATTTATCCAACTTTTTTGACTTCCCTATTTGCTTTAAATGGCGAACGACTGTTGAGTGGTCGACCTCGAGTTCAACAGCAACTTCTCGTGTGGTTTTGCGAGGATCGGCTTCAATTAAGGCTTTCAAATGTTCGTTATCAACCGCAGTCGGCCGGCCGCGACCGTCTTCATCTTCGAGGCTCTCGTCACCATTGCGAAAAATTTCTTGAACCACCGTTGTGCCACACGTTCGTTAGTGGTTCCTGGGCCAAACGCGTCATTAATATCACGAGCTGTCTCGGCAGCTTTTCGGCCTAGTTTGAACTGGAACAAGAAAATCGTGCGGATTTGAATTTTGTCCATGCTGTCGAAAAGCCTGCAAAAAAAATGAATGAAGAGATTGAGAACGGTAACGAATAACACGATTCGATAGAGCGAAAAAACGCGCTTCAAAATGATATATAACATATATATATATATATCAATGAATTAATTCAGAAATCATATATAAAAGTAACATATGTGAGAAAACGACATTATTTTGCACCAATTCGAACAATTTCCAATCGTTAATTTAATTCAAATTTAATAAAATCATCATTTTTATGCATTCTTAATAAGAAACGCTACCAAATTAAAAAAAAATTAACAAGAAATATGAAAAAAAAAATAGACATTGAATTTTTTGAACAAAACAAATGAATTATGGAAAAGAATGATTTTCAGAAAATTTAGTTTTATAAACTTTGTGCAACATAAATATTTTGTATATAATTAGGAAACGGAAGAATTTGGATATTATTAAGAGGTTTTTTCCAAGATATGATATTGAAAATCCACAAATTTCGAACATATATAATTTTCCATTAATCTAAAAATGTATCATTTCTAAAAAAATGAATTCCAGAATATTTTTTTCTGATATTTGAATGTCTTTTTTCAAATTTATGTTTGTTTGTAGGTTGAATAATTTTTTATTTTTCCTTTTTAAATTTCAAATTTTCTTTTTTTTTTTATTTTAATATATTCTTTCAAGGATGGATTAAATTTTTTCTAAAAATTAGTTTTTTCCTTCAGAATTTTTTTTTTTTTAAATTTCCAATTTTTAAAATTTTTTTTTTATACTTGAAAATGATATAATATTTTGTTTTTTTTGGGGCAAGATGAGGCTTTTTTTTTTTTTTTTAAAGGTGCCTCTAACATTTTTGAATTTTCTTAAACTTTAGATTACTTTTTTGTTAAAACCTAAAGAACAATGTTTTAATTTTTTTTTTTATTTAACTATAAATTTTTCTTTTATTTCTTTTTTTCTATAAACATGATTCAATAATTTAATTAATTAATTTTTTTAAAAAATCAATAAAAATTTTAATGATTTTGAACCATATATAGAATATTATTTATCAATGTAAAAGGGTCCCAATAACAAAAAATGGTTTCCTTGAGTTCGTTGCCGAGATCATGAAATACTGGGGGAGGCATGGTGGAGAAATGAATAGCGGCTAAAAATTTGAGGAATTGAGATCCGAGTTCGAATTCAGTTCGAAATCCATTACATTGTTTACATGCTAATACCCTTGGGAAAGGTATGATTTCTCTTCTATACCTTTTGATGGCTATTGGTCATACCGCAGATAAAATGTCAATCTACTGCGTCAGTCATGTATCGAAAAATATATGATCACCTAAGCGTGTATTTTTATGGCACATAACCGACAATGCCCAAGTATTACTCACATAGACGGTCATTATTAGAATTGTTGTCTGAGCGAAAAAAAGAGAAATTAATTTATTCATAGAATTATAAAGAAAATATATTGGTTAACTCTAAGCGATTGTTTATATTTTGTGACATTGTAACTATTTACACTATTTACATTGTTCGAATGTTATCCTCATGTTTTGTTGCCACATTCATGACGTTTTCGGCCGTTGTATGTCATACCGCCTTCATCAATGATTGGAATTTCGAACTGAATTTTTATTTCGTAGATTGTTCTAGTTCCATGTGCCATGCCACTTCCGGATGTTTCAGTTTCCGTTATTTTTCCTTTAGTAACTTAACTAATTTTGGGTCAAGTCACTGGATTATTTCAAGTTATCAGCAGAGGTGAACAAAACTTGGAGAATTAAATATTAATCGTCAGTATACAAATTCCAACAAACAAACACTGTCAATAATGTAAATAACTTTAGGTTTGTTGCGATCGGGAAAACAAGTGAATGAACAAACTATACAAGGAATCAAAAATAAATTTAATCAAGAAACAAGGAGAGAATTTTGCCTTTGGTTTTGGACAGTAGTAGTTTTCACAGAGTCTCAAGTTGGTTATCTCCTTTTTCGATTTTTTTTTTTTTTTTTTTTTTTTTTTTTTTTTTTTTTTTTTTTCCCCTAATAAAAAGCTTGTTGACAGTAAAACTAACAAAATTCCATTACAGTAAATACTTTTTTTTTTTTTTACCTGTAGTTTTCTATGACAGCGTCGTTTTAGCCAATTGATCTTTTAGGATGTTAAACTAAATTCCAATAATTGACATAAGGGCTATGTCTTTATTGTTGTCACAAAATTTTATTTATCTGGGATGAGGATTTTCATTATTTACAGACTAATATCCTCATCTTTGTTATCACAACGTTTCGACTTTCTGGGATGAGGAATTATCATTATTTCCATTATTTACAATCAGACTAATATCCTCGTCTTTATAATGTTTTAGCTTTAGGGGATGAGAAATTGTCAGATTAATATCCTCATCTATGTTGTTGTTAAGTTTCCGCTGGCCTAGAGGATAGAACTGTTGCTTCATGAATTTGGTGGCAGTCACTTTGAACGTGGGTTATGAGAGATAGTACTGATTCAAGCTTTAGCTAGCAATAATCAAACATTACTAAAATAGAACAAGATGACTTATTACTGAAAAGGGTCATCAGGGCGTGAACAATCTATCCCCGGAGATTAAATAAAGGGTTCAATTTGAAATTCCTGCAGGTGATTTGGATCAACAGATGACGAAAAAGAAAGGCAGACACACTGATATTAAGATATTCGTTCAAATGTAATTTTGACAGTAAAAGAATGGTACCTAGCTATCGATCTACCCAGCCAAGTAAAGCTTGTCCTGGGTGTGACGATAAACTACATCCGGCAGCAAAGCCTCTGATCGGGGAGAGTAGAGGTTTTGAGGAGCATGTTGAATTGTTGTTGTTCCCAGATCCACCCAGACCTGAAGTGGTAGCACCTGTTAGGGTCCCAGCTATGGGCAAATAAGGAACACACAACAAAACCATTTGAAAGTATAAAATATATATTTTTATATGTAAAATGACGAACAATACATTTTATCTGTAGTTGAAGGCATGCAATCACGTTCAAAATGTATTTAGTTGAAGTCATAAAATTATGTCGAAAATATTTAGATTTCGGCATTAAGTAACTGATAGAGCTTGATATGCCGCTAAATAAAGTCATCCAACTAAACAAGGAAGGCAATAAATCCACTAAGACCAACGGGTTTACAGAGAAGAAAATAACCTGAGAAAACGTTACTGAGGATTAATATCCTCTATCAAGATGTTAGGGTCCCAGCTATGGGTAAATATAGTCCTGGGTATGTTTTTGTATCGGATTCAAACATATGAGATATCAAGCAATCTGAGACGAAAATGTAATTGTGGTCATTGCATGCAAAGAAATCTACCCAAGATGAGAAGTATCAATAAGTATTAGGCAGGGGTTGATTTTGAAGCATGCTATTGCACTCAATTTGAATGTTGGGGTTTGACATGATAAATAATGACACAAAATATTTTTTTTCCAAAATTGTTACCGTTTTTCCAGGAAACCAGTTTAAAGATTAAGTTTAGGATAAAATCGTAGCATTGCAATTTCATTCCAGTGATCAGTGAAAGCCTTATAAAATTTATAATTTTCATATGCAGTTAACAAATTGTATATAGACAAGATGTGTAGAGGACTGTGTGTGTTTGTTTGCGTGTTGTTGTATTAGAAACACGTGTAAAATACCCTGGTAGAATATTAAATTTACAAGGTCCAACTATAAGAAAATTGCTGGCTTCAGAAAATTAAGTCCAACTGAAGATGTAAAGAAAAACAAACAAAATCGAGATATATATATAAACAAATATATGTATTAAATAAAAAACAATTTTTTACAATGGACATAGATGACCATTTGTGTGTGTGTGAAAATTTGTGTCTGTTCTTTTGGTGAATGTTCGTATAAAAAACGAATATTTTTATGTTTCACGACGTCTTCCACAAATGGGAAGACGCAGATTTTCTAGGAAGCTTACATTGTCAAATTTGAAATGAAGAACTGAAAAAGGATTTACCTCACTTCACACGAGGTTTTCAGAACGAGGCCTGAAGGTTCTAAAGAAGGACGACATGAGAAGTTGCCTAGTATTTATAGTATTGGGAGAATGACTCCTAGTGACAATTAGGGAATTAAGGAGGAGCTAAATCCTACAGATACATGGCACAATCTAACATTATTACTAAATCATTTTTCCATCAAACAAGACCTTCATTTACTTCAAAGGGAAATTACACTGAACAATTTAACTATATTAGGATGTAATATTTTATACATTGTAGTAGTTTTAGTGTCATTATCAATAAACAATGCAAATTTAAAACATTTTGTCTTATAATTTGTGTCAGCAGTATTATGGTATTATATACTTTTTATCTATTTTTTGTTTTATTATGATCTAATAAATCTTATTCTTTTGATTATTTTTATGATTAATCTTTTTTTTTTTTTTTTTTTTTTTTTTTTTTAGTGTTTACTTATCAGATATAAAAAAACAACTTGCTTATTTTGCTGGTTTGAATATATTTTCCATTTAATGTATGAAATCTGGATTGAATAATTGGAAATATAAAGTTATGAGTCTAATTTCTGATGTTAATACCCAATTTTTTGCACACACACAAACATATGCATACCATGGCATGCTCAGGATTGGATGAGTATTTCAAATCTAATCGTTCCACCGAGAGTGAAGAAGCTTCTGTTTGTAGTTCCTCTTTAACTTGATATGTTTTTTCATTACTAAGCTGTTATTACAAAACATATAATTTGGTACAGCTTCAGATCCATCACTTTTCAGCCTGTGTATAAAGGTGTATAAAATGTTATCTGCATTTTGATCATTGAATTAATTATCCATGTCAAAACAATTTTAATGAAACAAAACCATATCAGAATCATCAATTCTGGAACAAAATTATGATATGAAACAAAATAAACATGATTTTAATTATTGTTATTTTGACTTATTTTGTTTAAAATAAACTTTATCATGATTACAAAAGTGAAAAAGTTTATTTTGTGTA